TGTCTGGCGCTGGGCATTAAGGGGTTAAAACAAGGACTGGTCGGCTCGGAGTCAGTATACTGTGTCTGAAAGGGGTATTCATGTTAAACTGCGGCATGGTATCTCAGTGAGCTAGCACTATAAATCGGCATCAGTCCGGACTAGTACAAGCAGCCACACACACACACACACACACACACACACACACACGTGCATGCACGTTGCTATATAAGTGCAATAATCTTAGACGCGACGTTAAACCCCATTTCACCTCACCTCACGTTACTGATAGTTTTACAACCTGATATATCGGTGTTTAGATTATATATTTAACGTTATTCCAACCATGTGTTACAAATATGTTCCAAGAGTTTTACAAGATTGTTACAAGAACACAATAAATGAACGAGTCGAAATGACACATCGTAACGATCATATTTGGTAATAGGGAAATTACTCGAAGTCAAACACCAGGAAAGGCTGCCCATATCGTTTAAGCATTGCAGATCGTATCGATTGTCTTCCTTCGAAACGCGATCCTTCCCTTCTGCGCATGCGGGCTGCAGGGAAGATAAGCAGCGCTCCTGGCGTTAAATATAATTGGCTAGAGCGCTCGTAAAATGTCGGCACAAGCTCCAGACCGTGAGTGTCTGTTGTGGACTGAACACGGGGAAAGGTTCAGGACATGGAAGAGATCAGAAGAAAGGGCTGTACATGATTTGCGGGTTAGTTCCAGAATTACAAACAGGAAGAGTACTTGTCTGAAGGGTTTGGTTTCCCAGTCAGTAAAATGGAATCTTACGTTTGTTGGTAAACCAATGACAGTGATTTACCTGTATTTCGTCACCGCGATATTATTTGTTCGTTTGTTTGTTTGTTGTTTAATGCCGCACACAGCAATATTCCAGCTATATGACGCGGTCTGGGTAAATAATCGAGCCTGGACCAGACAATCCAGTGATTAATATCATGAGCATCGATCCACGCGGTTTGGATCGATGACATTCATCAACCAAGTCAGCGAGCCTGACCACTCGATCCCGTTAGTCGCCTTTTACGACAAGCATAGGCGCCTTTTACGGTAAGCATGGGTTGCTGAAGACCTTTTCTACCCCGGATCATCACGTGTCCACCGCGATATTTTCTAGTTGTACACACTTATATGTTGTTTAACGCCGCACCCAGCAATGATCTTCTTATATTACAGTGGTCTCCAAATAATCGTGTCTGGACCACGCAAATCAGTGACTGATATTATGAGCAGCGATCTACGTCGTCGGTTTACGGTGACATGCAATCAGCCAAGTCACAAAGTCTGACCACCGGATCCATTAGGTAGGCGACTAACGGGATCGGGTGGTCAGGCTCGCTGACTTGGTTGATGCATGTCATCGATCCCAATTGCGGGGATCGATGCTCATGTTGTCAATTACTAGATTGTCTGGTCCAGACTCGCTTATTTACAGACCGCCGTCATATACAACAAAGAAACATTATGTAGCCTCTTACAACGAGCAGAGGTTGCGGGTAACCATTTCTTACCGGGAATGCCAACAGGGGTAGAAAACGTACATGTACTTTTACTAGAGAGCTATTACAACTAGAGACAAACATTGAAAATCACTTCTTTTCTGTTTGTAGTGTTAAAGTGGCGAAGGATGTTCTATAAAACGTACGGATGTTACTGGTTTCTTTCCGATAAAGGGCTTTGGAATTGGATCGGGAATCATTCGGTGACGTTGATTTCGTATCATTGTGTCTCGATGACGTGCCCCTATTTGGCAGGATATGCTCACCTTAAACGATTATTGTTGTTGTTATTATTTACCTATTAAAATAAATACAGCAAAGAGGGTTCGGGTGATCCTGGCACAGACTTTATTATCATTGTTATTGTTGAAATCACGTATACACATTGAGCTTTCCGGTGCCAGAAAACGTGGGCTGATCCAGGAAAACATAGGCTAGCTAAGGAAACTTGGGCTGGTTTAGGAAATATGGGCTGGTTGATGGAAACAGGGGTTAGTTCAGGGAACATGGGCCGGCTTAGAAAGGTGTTATCTGCAATGGACAGATCACAAAACGGTGACCAGAAACCCTGTGAGACCGGAAACCCAGTGAGACCGTAAAGACTGAGAGACCAGAAACCCAGTGAGACCGTAAAGACTGTGAGACTGGAAACCCAGTGAGACCGTAAAGACTGTGAGACTGGAAACCCAGTGAGACCGTAAAGACTGTGAGACTGGAAACCCAGTGAGACCGTAAAGACTGTGAGACTGGAAACCCAGTGGGACCGTAAAGACTGTGAGACCGGAAACCCAGTGAGACCGTAAAGACTGTGAGACTGGAAACCCAGTGAGACCGTAAAGACTGTGAGACTGGAAACCAGGTGGGACCGTAAAGACTGTGAGACTGGAAACCCAGTGGGGCCGTAATAACTGTGAGACCATAAACCCAGTGAGACCATAAAGTGTGAGAGACCGGAAACCCAGTGAGACCATAAAGACTGTCAGACTGGAAACCCAGTGAGACCGTAAAGACTGTGAGACCATAAACCCAGTGAGACCATAAAGTGTGAGAGACCAGAAACCCAGTGAGACCATAAAGACTGTGAGACTGGAAACCCAGTGAGACCGTAAAGACTGAGAGACTGGAAACCCAGTGAGACTGTAAAGACTGTGAGACTGGAAACCCAGTGAGACTGTAAAGACTGAGAGACCGGAAACCCAGTGAGACTGTAAAGATTGTGAGACCGGAAACCCAGTGAGACCGTAAAGACTGAGAGACTGGAAACCCAGTGAGACAGTAAAGACTGTGAGACCGGAAACCCAGTGAGACCGTAAAGACTGTGAGACCAGAAACCCAGTGGGACCGTAAAGACTGTGAGACCGGAAACCCAGTGAGACCGTAAAGACTGTGAGACCAGAAACCCAGTGGGACCGTAAAGACTGTGAGACCGGAAACCCAGTGGGACCGTAAAGACTGTGAGACCGGAAACCCAGTAAGACGGTAATAACTGTGAGACCATAAACCCAGTGAGACCATAAAGACCGAGAGACCGGAAACCCAGTGAGACCATAAAGACTGAGAGACTGGAAACCCAGTGAGACCGTAAAGACTGTGAGACCGGAAACCCAGTGAGACCGTAGAACCAATGAGACTGGAAACCCTGTCGTCCGGGATCTCTTGTTTGGAAGCTATGTGCTTTCTGAATAACAGTAGTTATTCCGGGCAGTTTATTTGGTGATGGCACCGTCGGACATAACGTGGCTACACTCTGCTAATGTGTACAGCTTTGACTTCAATAGTAACCTTCGAGAAGACAAATTTGTTAAGATTAAATAAGATATGTTTTTGATATACAACAGAACAGTGACGCCACCGGCTGCTCCCGAAGTTGTACTGCAAGATGCGCTAGCCGATGGTGATGGACAGCTTGTTTACTGCAGAGGAATTACATAGTGTATACATTATACATAGCACATTAACCACATTAGCTCGGTGCCCGTCCGCCCACCTCGGGCAAATGCCGATATAATGTACTTTACTCGAGCTTTACGTACTGGTAACGGTGTGTGTCTGTGCGCGTATATAGGTGTATGTCTATGTCTGTGTGGATCTGTGTGGATCTGTGTGTGTGTGTGTGTGGGTGTGTGGGTGTGTGTGTGTGTGGTGTGTGTGGATCTCTGTGTGTGTTTCTGTGTCTGTGTGGATCTCTGTGTGTGTCTGTGTGTAGGTGTCTGTGTTTGTGTGAGTATCAGTGTGTGTGTCTGTGTCTGTGTGGATCTGTGTGTGTCTGATTGTGTGTCTGTGTGGATCTCTGTTTGTGTCTGTCTGTCTGTGTCTGTGTGCGTCTGTATGTGTATCTCTCTCTTTGCGCGTGTATGTGTCTGTGTCTGTGTATGTACGTGTGTTTCTCTCGTTCGCTCTCCCTCCCTGCAAGTGTCTGTGTCTGTGTGTGTCTATATGTGTATCTCCCTGTGCGCGTGTGTGTTTGTGTGTGTGTGTGTATGTGTGTCTGTGTATGTGTGTATGTACGTGTGTTTCTCTCGCTCGCTCTCCCTCTCCCTTTATGTGCCTGTGTGTGTGTGTGTGTGTGTGTGTGTGTGTGTGTGTGTGTGTGTGTGTGTGTGTGTGTGCGTGTATATTTAGATAACAATCTACTAGCTAGGATGAATTACGAGTCGATGTCCGGGGTGAATTAAATTTGTAACGTTATTTCACGAGGGACGTAATCCGTCATTTCATGTTGCGAGCAGGTTATTATTATACAGATTACCCAGTCTTCGTTTCTAAAGACATTATGCAAAACCCGAGTTTGCCGATCACAACTCCAAATCACCTCAGTAAAAAAACACGTTTGTGACGTCATAAACAATGGTGACGTCATCTTTATTAATGTGATGTTGACTAGCCAATCATCATGAAGCAAAATTAATTAAGTATTACTGAAAATAACTGTACCGATATTGGCCCCTATATTTATAGTGAAGCGATATTCTTAGCGCTATGGCTGACAATTATGACTGAATGCGTTAGTACGAATTTAACATCGGCCAAAAATAGCTTTGAAATAAATACATAAACGTATCATTGATATGTGGTAAAACCTCGTTCGTATGAACCCCGTTAATCGCGAAACTTCGCTTTTGGTGAATCTCTTGGGTGTCCTCACGTGCCCTTAACGGTATTACTCCGGTTAATCAGGATAAATATTGATGCCTGATTAGTATTATGACAAACAAGTGACCCTGTACTTAGATCTCAGTAATGAATGAGTGATTACAACTTTACGCAACTTTAATCCAGCAACATTCTTGCACTGTAAGGGTGGAGGACATCAGAAATAGACTTCGTACATTGTACCCATTTAGGGGAATCGAACCCAGACCTTCCACTCGACTACCCCACCATCCTTCTCAATAATGAAACATAATTTATTTGTATGCATGATTATGTTACATTCTTGCAAATGCATACTTTATCATCATCATCACAATCATCTAACGCATGTGTTCCAGGAGTACTTGGGTCACGCAGAGAGAACAGGAAGTCGCAGCAAAATGAGCCTTCGCAGAGGAGAGCGCTCAAAGCAGAGGGGAAGCTACTCGCTCGAGCCAGGTGGTGAGTCCATCAATTCCTCTATCAAAAATGAGCGCCGTTGTCCACGCGCTGCTGGCCAATACACTACAGGCTATCCCAGAAACGTATAACTTTCCTAAACATCCATGAATAATTCATAGTAGCGTATTGATGATTGAACATCGGACATATCGGGCCTTGGATATATTACCAGTTTCAGGAAAAGGATATGACGTCACCACGATAATATATATATATATATATATATATATATATATATATATATATATATATATATATATTACTTTCAGAATATTCCATGACCGTCTCTTCCTCAGGATAGTGATGCATTTATGAATACATATGCATTCACAATGGGAGATTGTCAGATTGCTGGGAAGCATTTTGTTGGTATTAATACACCACTCACAAATGTGAGAGTTATCAGCATTGTTTATAATAAAAACATGACTCACAGAGGTGTCAGCACACCCACCTTTAACATATATAACGGAACGGCGAGCCAACTGCATGAGAAGTCGAACTGATTGTGGACAAATACGCGTATGACCTAATCAGATTGCCTCACAAGAAGCTGATAAATGTTCCAGCGAAAACCTGAAAACAATTCCGTTTGTACTTCTTTTGTATAACATTGGTGAATTATGGATGTGGATGACAAATGGGAGTTTGTTCTGTTTTGGCATCTCTCGCTAGGGACATTAATTGAATGTGTCTTTAGTCCAATATTACCTCATATTTGGCGTCATGTAATCTGACTAGTTACTGCTGTAGGGTAGTTGGACGCCCAAGAGGCTTCTCTGTTGCCCATAGGAATCATAGCTGCAGGGGAAAAATGGCTGTGATTCTTACTGGAGACTGGAAACAATATATCACCCCTTACGTGAGAAGCATTGTTCCTGGGTCTTTGTGAGACGTATTATCCCTGACTCGACTTAACGACTACCTGGATTATCCATTGTTTCACTGCAACTTGTAAGATCTTCCTGGTTCATGTTATTAATTCCCTAAGTTTCTAAAGAGCTGTCGCATGTCTTTGATGCATCTCTGTACACCACTCATTGGCTGCCCCTCCTTACACCACTCATTGGCTGCCTCTCCTCCCACCACTCATTGCCTGAATCTCTTTCCACCACGCATTGGCTGCCTCTCCTTCCACCACTCATTGGAAGCCCCTCCTCCCACCACTCATTGCCTGAATCTCCTTCCACCACTCATTGGCTGCCCCTACTTCCACCACTCATTGGAAGCCCATACTTCCACCACTCATTGGCTGCCCCTCCTTACACCACTCATTGGCTGCCCCTCCTCCCACCACTCATTGCCTGAATCTCCTTCCACCACTCATTGGCTGCCCCTACTTCCACCACTCATTGGAAGCCCATACATCCACCACTCATTGGCTGCCCCTCCTTACACCACTCATTGGCTGCCTCTCCTCCCACCACTCATTGGCTGCCTCTCCTCACACCACTCATTGGCTGCCCCTCCTCCCACCACTCATTGGCCGCCTCTCCTCACACCACTCATTGGCTGCCCCTCCTCCCACCACTCATTGGCTGCCTCTCCTCACACCACTCATTGGCTGCCCCTCCTCCCACCACTCATTGGCTGCCTCTCCTCACACCACTCATTGGCTGCCCCTCCTCCCACCACTCATTGGCCGCCCCTCCTTCTGCCATTTATAGACTGCCTCTCCTTCCACCACTTCTTGGCTGCCTCTCCTTCCACCACTCATTGGCTGCCCCTCCTCCCACCACTCATTGGCTGCCCCTACTTCCACGACTCATTGGCTGCGTCTCCTCCCACCACTCATTGGCTGCCCCTCCTTGCACCACTCATTGGCTGCCCCTCCTCCCACCACTCATTGGCTGAATCTCCTTCCAACATCCATTGGCTGCCTCTCCTCACACCACTCATTGGATGCCCCTCCTCACACCACTCATTGGCTGCCTCTCCTTTCATCGCTCATTGGCTGCCTCTCCTTCCACCGCTCATTGGCTGCCCCTCCTTGCACCACTCATTGGCTGCCCCTCCTCCCACCATTCATTGGCTGAATCTCCTTCCACCACTCATTGGCTGCCTCTCCTTCCACCGCTCATTGGCTGCCTCTCCTTCCACCACTCATTGGCTGCCCCTCCTCCCACCACTCATTGGCTGAATCTCCTTCCAACATCCATTGGCTGCCTCTCCTCACACCACTCATTGGATGCCTCTCCTTCCACCACTCATTGGCTGCCTCTTCTTCTGCCATTCATTGGCTGTCCCTCCTCCCACCACTCATTGGCTGCCCCTCCTCACACCATTCATTCGCTGCCCCTCCTCCCACCACTCATTGGCTGCCCCTACTTCCACCACTCATTGGCTGCCTCTCCTCCTACCACTCATTGGCTGCCCCTCCTCACACCATTCATTGGCTGCCCCTCCTCACACCACTCATTGGCTGGCGCTACTTCCACCACTCATTGGTTGCGTCTCCTCCCACAACTCATTGGCTGCCCCTCCTCCCACCACTCATTGGCTGCCCCTCCTCACACCATTCATTGGCTGCCCCTCCTCACACCACTCATTGGCTGCCGGTACTTCCACCACTCATTGGCTGCGTCTCCTCCCACAACTCATTGGCTGCCCCTCCTCCCACCACTCATTGGCTGAATCTCCTTCCACCACTCATCGGCTGCCTCTCCTTCCACCGCTCATTGGCCGCCCCTCCTCCCAACATTCATTGGCTGCCTCTCCTCACACCACTCATTGGCTGCCCCTCCTCACACCACTCATTGGCTGCCTCTCCTTCCATCGCTCATTGGCTGCCTCTCCTTCCACCGCTCATTGGCTGCCCCTCCTCCCACCATTCATTGGCTGCCTCTCCTCACACCACTCATTGGCTGCCTCTCCTCCCACCACTCATTGGCTGCTGCTCATTGGCTGCCCCTCCTTACACCATTCATTGGCTGTCTCTCCTCACACCACTCATTGGCTGCCCCTTCTTCTGCCATTCATTGGCTGCCTCTCCTCCCACCAATCATTGGCTGCCTCTCCTTCAATCGCTCATTGGCTGCCTCTCCTCACACCATTCATTGGCGCCTCTCCTCCCACCACTCATTGGCTGCCTCTCCTTCTGCCATTCATTGGCTGCCTCTCCTCACACCACTCATTGGCTGCCTCTCCTTCCACCACTCATTGGCTGCCCCTCCTCCCTTCACTCATTGGCTGCCCCTCCTCCCACCATTCATTGGCTGCCTCTCCTCACACCACTCATTGGCTGCCCCTCCTCCCACCACTCATTGGCTGCCTCTCCTTCCACCGCTCACTGGCTGCCTCTCCTTCCACCGCTCATTGGCTGCCCCTCCTCCCACCACTCATTGGCTGCCTCTCCTCCCACCACTCATTGGCTGCCGCTCATTGGCTGCCCCTCCTTACACCATTCATCGACTGCCTCTCCTCACACCACCCATTGGCTGCCTCTCCTCACACCACTCATTGGCTGTCCCTTCTTCTGCCATTCATTGGCTGCCTCTCCTCCCACCAATCATTGGCTGCCTCTCCTTCAATCGCTCATTGGCTGCCTCTCCTCACACCATTCATTGGCGCCTCTCCTCCCACCACTCATTGGCTGCCTCTCCTTCTGCCATTCATTGGCTGCCTCTCCTCACACCACTCATTGGCTGCCTCTCCTCACACCACTCATTGGCTGCCTCTCCTTCCACCACTCATTGGCTGCCTCTCCTTCCACCACTCATTGGCTGCCCCTCCTCCCTTCACTCATTGGCTGTCCCTCCTCCTACCACTCATTGGCTGCCCCTCCTTCCTTTACTCATTGGCTGCCGCTCATTGGCTGCCCCTCCTTACACCATTCATCGGCTGCCTCTCCTCACACCACCCATTGGCTGCCTCTCCTTCCTCTTTCCCCGCCATCAAATGACTGCCGCTTTTTCGCTGCTTGGTTTGTTCAAGGCAACTTTTTTTCTCCCTTTGGTTTCTATTCGTCCAGAATATTAATATTATACAAACCAGTTTTGCATGTAATTACATTACTTGAAGATAATAGATTGAATTTTGTAGTAATCTGTTAAAGAAGACAGGTGCTAGAAGATCGATATGCTTTCAGACTGGCTAGTTAAGGGGATGTTTTTGAAAAGACAGTACCATATTGTTGCTTGTCGTGATGTTCGGAATGACTGAGCGGAGCAACAGAAACGTTATCCGTTGTCGGGATTTCCTTGGGGCAATAATAATATTCTTTATAATAATTCTTTGGATGAATGGTGTTGACTACTACTTGTGAATAGTTTGCTTTGTGTTTATTGGGACATACGAGATATAGAAATTCTTCTGATGTATGGTTCCCATTGATTCGTGTGATATATGATCTTCATTTCTTCTCAAAGTAGTTATGGATAACAACCTCTCTACTGTAAAGCGACGTTTCGGTATAGATCCTTGTACCGTTGTCAAGCAAGGAAATATCATTATTATGTTTGTTTATCTTTGATGCATCACGAGTAGTGTTTTTTTCGATATATGACTCTCCGTTCAATATGTGACGATCTGTATGTCTAATGATATATGACCTTTCTTTGGATATATGACGTTTAGTCCTTGTGGCTATACGTTTTAGTATTTAATTATATATGACGTTTGATGATTCTTGCGTTAAATGACTTTAAGTGACTGTTTCTGATGACGTTAAGTGATTCTTGCTATGTGTAACTGTAGTGTTTCTTATGATGCACGGGTGGCCCAGTCGTCTAAGGCGCCGCGATTCGCTGTGCAGAGTTGCGTCCCTTCGGCACGCCAGAAACCTATGATTGTTGGTTCGAATCCCGGTTCGCCCCGATTATGTTTCTAGGTTTGTCAGCACCATACCCGTGCTCGTGGGTTTCACCAAAGTGGTAAACGTCTGAGACCTGCATCACTTCGGGCTTTCCTTCCACATTAAGCTGACACGCCGTGATATAACTGGAATATTGTTAAAAGCGGCGTTAAACCAAACTCATTCACTCTCTCACTCTTATGATGCA